TCTCAAAATTGTCAAAATGGCTATACTACCCAAAGCAATCTATAGATTCAATGCAATCCCTATCAAGCTACCAACCGTAGTTTTCACAGAACTAGCACAAATAATTCCACAATTTGTATGGAAATGCAAAAACCTCCAATAGCCAAAGTAATCTTCAGAAAGAAGAATGGAACTGCAGGAATCAACCTGCCTGACTTCAGACTATACCACAAAGCCACAGTCATCAAGACGGTATGGTACTGGCACAAAGACAGAAACATAGATCAATGCAACAGAATAGAAAGCCCAGAGATAAATCCACGAACCTATGGTCACCTTATCTTCGACAAAGGAGGCAAGGATATTCAATGGAAAACAGACAACCTCTTTAACAAGCGGTGCTGGGAAAACTGGTCAACCACCTGTAAAAGAATCAAACTACAACACTTTCTAACACCATACACAGAAAGAAACTCAAAACGGATTAAAGATCTAAACATAAGCCCAGAAACTATAAAACTCCTAGAGGAGAACATAGGCAAAACACTCCCTGACATAAATCACAGCAGGATCCTCTATGACCCACATCCCAGAATATGAGAAACAATAGCGAAAGTATACAAATGGGACCTAATGAAACTGAAAAGCTTTTGCACAACAAAGGAAACTAAAAGCAAGGTGAAAAGACAGCCCTCAGATTGGGAGAAAATAATAGCAAATGAAGCAACACACAAAGGATTAAACTCAAAAATATACAAGCAACCCCTCCAGCTCTACTCCAGAAAAATAAATGACCCAATCCAAAAATGGGCCAAAGAACTAAACAGACATTTCTCCAAGGAAGACATACAGATGGCTAAAAGACACATGAAAAGATGCTCAGCATCACTCAGTATCAGAGAAGTTCAAATCAAAACCACAATGCTGTACATTACACGCCAGTCAGGATGGCTGCTATCCAAAAAGTCTACAAGCAATAAATGCTGGAGAGGGTGTGGAGAAAAGGGAACCCTCTTACACTGTTGGTGGGAATGCAAACTAGTTCAGCCGCTATGGAAAACAGTGTGGAGATTTCTTAAAAAAAAAACTGGAAATAGAACTACCATATGACCCAGCAATCCCACTTCTGGGCATACACGCCCCAATGTTCATCGCACCACCATTTATAACAGGCAGGGCATGGAAGCAACCTAGATGCCCATCAGCAGACGAATGGATAAGGAAGCTGTGGTACATATACACCATGGAATCTTACTCAGTCATTGCAAAGAATTCATTTGAATCAGTTCTAATGAGATGGATGAAAGTGGAGCCTGTTATACAGACTGAAGTAAGCCAGAAAGTTAAAGACCATTACAGTATACTGACACATATATATGGAATTTAGAAAGATGGTAACGATAACCCTATGTGCAAAACAGAAAAAGACACACAGATGTATAGAACAGACTTTTGGACTCTGTGGGAGAAGGCGAGGGTGGGATGTTTCAAGAGAACAGCATCGAAACATGTATATTATCTAGGGTGAATCAGATCACCAGCCCAGGTTGGATGCATGAGACAAGTGCTCGGACCTGGTGCACTGGGAAGAGCCAAAGGGATCGGGTCGAGACGGAGGTGGGAGGGGGGATTGGGATGGGGAATACATGTAAATCCATGGCTAATTCGTGACAAAAAAAACTGTAAAGTAATTAGCCTCCAACTAATAAAAATAAATGAAAAAAATAATAAAAACAGGGATTCATTGAGCTGCATGGGAGATGAATTCTGTCATTAGAACCTTTGCCACCAGGCTTAAGAAATATATTTAGAACTCATTTCTTTCAGGAAACAGGTTTCAAGATCTCCATAAGAAGTCTTTTATTAAGATAAATCACAGCTTTGTCAGTTTCTCCAGAAGTACCCCATTTTTGATTCCCAAGGAGAATCGCAATAATAAAATTAAATTAATCTAGTAGGTTATTTTCTCTCTAATGGCACCTGTCTTGATTAATAGGATTCCGGTATTTGTATTTCCTGGGCTTCCCTGGTGGCTCAGGTGGTCAAGAATCTGTCTGCAATGCAGGAGACCTGGGTTCCATGCCTGGGTTGAGAAGATCGCCTGGAGAAGGGAATGGCAACCTCTTCCACTGTTCTTTCCTAGAGAATTCAACGGACAGAGGAACTTGGGAGGCCACAGTCCATGGAGTCACAAAGAGTCGGACACAGCTGAGCAACTAATACACATATTTTCTTACCATTTGCTGAGTAGAAGCAATCATTCATAGCATTGTATAGCACTTTCTAAAGAACGCTTAGTGCCTTTTTTCTTTTCTGTAAGCTGCACTAGGTCTTGGTTGCCACACATGGGATCTTTCATTGTGGCGTGCAAACTCTTCCTTGCAGGGGATGGGATCTAGTTCACTGACCAGAGATTGAACCCAGGCCCCTGCATTGGGAGCAGCCACTGGATCGCCAGGGAAGCCCTCTAAACAACTCTTCAAGTGAAATGTTTTGGACGTTCGCAGCAGCTCTGGGCAGTCCTAGTGATGATACTCGTTCTGCACTCTTGAGCCCGTGACCTCCCTGAGGGACACAGGGGCCAAGTGAGCAGATGCTACCCCAGCGTCAGACCGCAGGGCCAGACTGGCTGTGCAAAATCCCTTCCAGTGATGTCCTCTTTTTACTGTTCCTCTGGTAAATTCAGTATTGCTTTCCTTGGAGCATGTGTTTAAAAGGAAATCCTAGATGTGTTCAGATATTACTGCCCACTTTTAGATGGATTGATATCTACCTAGGACTTGTTTATTAAACCCACCTGCCTGAGTACTGTGACTTGATTGGAGTTTTCTTGAAGTCACTCCTGAAGCATTGTGATGGCTTTGTCTAACATTAATACATTTTTAAAAATGATATGTGTTGCGGTATGGCCATGAAAAGAGGGGAGAATCTGTTGCGATTGCAAACCAATGATGGAGGCAACTTCAAAAGGAAACCTGAATTGTAACGATGTTTCTATTTATGTAAAATACTGCCCTTACCTTGCAGTCTGTAGTTGATGTGCACAGACACAGTAGTGGCTCTCAGGTTGCTCTTCTGCCAGCTTCCTGTCTCCTTCAATCCCTGCATGTGTATAGGAACTTCAGTGAGATAATGGGGCATTTAACAGAGTTTGCTCTGTGCAACACTGTATTTAGTGTTTCTATTTTAAAGTTTCTAGGATGTTAATTTATATGCAAATAAAATACATAAGAAGAGAGTTCTGTGCCTATTGTGTATATATGTCCTAAAAGAAAATGCAAAATATTTATCCCAGAGGGAAAATAAGAGCGTCTGTGTTCAAAGATTTTTGAAAGTTCTTATTTCAGGCCGAACCGTTGCTGGTGAAGAGTGAAAGTCGCTCAGTCATGTCTGACTCTGTGAACGCATGGACTATACAGTCCATGGAATTCTCCAGGCCAGAATACTAGAGTGGGTAGCCGTTTCCATTCTCCAGAGGGCCTTTGCAACCCAGGGATAGAACCCAGGTCTCCTGCATTGCAGGTGGATTCTTCACCAGCTGAGCCACCAGGGAAGCTCCAACAGATATGAGCAGTTAAGGATTTAACAAATGCTAGATTGTAAAGATAAAATAATAATTCTGCTACGTTAACACACATTTTCTTAAGATCAAATGTTCTCAACGCAGTTTCAGGGAAGAAGTATTTCCCCCTTATGGAAATATCAGTATGTTAATCCCTAAGAAGTCCTTTTCCGAAAAGTTACAAAATAGTTGCGACAATGTAGATGATGTAGATTAAATGGTGATAAACATTGAGTTGATCTCAGTGAGGCAGCAGTGAGTGGTGGCCTGAAGTGAGATCTACTTCGCTGCCCAGGAACTGACCCTGGGTAGCCTGAACCAAAACCAGGAATCCTAGCCGCCAGACCAGCAAGGGCTAGAGGCTAGAAGCCAAGTTTCCCTGGATCTTTGACCAGTGAAAAATGCATTTATCATGGAGGCAGAATCGGTAAATGCAGGTACAACGTTTATTATTAGTGACACAGCACAGCAACATGTGGGAAAGCACACGGAGAAACAGCTGGTCTCGTTAAGACAGAAGCAAAGCAGAGAGACACACCTGGAGAGAAAGGTTATGGGCGCCCCCTAGTGAGAAGGAGCACAATAACCACAAGGCAGTTAAGTCATTTAGACAGGCCAGTTCTTCTGGGTCTTTGTCTTCCTTCCTGCCAAGTTTCTGGTTTCTCTCTTCCCATCTGACCTATCCTGGGACTCTCCCCTGGTGTGCACATACCCCTCAGCCAAGATGGATCTCCAAGTGGAGGCTTCTGGGAGAAGCAAGGCTCATTATGGTCTGGCATTTTCGCGGGACTTTTCACCCACAAGGAGCCTCTCTGCGCATGTGTAGTGTTTCCCTTGAACCAAAAGGGGGGTGGGGGGAGGGGAGATCTCTTCATCCTTGACTCAAGCAGGAGTTTGTCCCTCTTTGCCCTTCCCATGGCTATGAAAGTGTTCATAAGAGACAGACACTGGCTATTTACCCTCTTTCTGTTGTTACTTCCATTTCAGAGGGCAAGCAGGACACTGATTGTAAAGGCTCAACTGGAGCCCAACCATCTCTTGCCTCAGGAAATGTAAACAGGCTAGATGTCAATGCCTAACCTGGAGTCCATCTGTCTCCTACAGCAGCATTATGGGAAGACAAAAGGTGGAAAATTATGCCAATGGGGCACCACATGATGGTGCAAAAAGATGGATACAGACAAGGAAAGAAGGAATAAAAGCTAAGCATGATGCTAAGGGAAACCATTATGCAAGTTAATGGGGGGTGGGGGGAAACCTCATGGAAAACACTTGCTTTTATGCCATAAACCATCTTTGAATTCAGGTCTATTTGAATTTTTCACCTTAAAATTTTCATCAGCTATACATTGGCTTTCCGTCTACTTTGTGCAAAAGCCTGGAGCTCCTAACTACCAGGGGTCTCCCATCCAAGTACTAACTAACCCTGCATAGTTTCCCAGATGAGAAGACATCTGACCTATTCAAGGTGGTATGATCTTAGATGGAGGCGGCTGTCGCCAGGGGCCTTTGAAAACCCTGCGCTGCGCCTCCTTTTCGCCCTGATGTGCCGTGTCGAGCCAGCCGGCCACAGCTTTCCACGGGGCGCGCCGGCCACAGCCCGGCCGAAACCGCCCCGTCCCCGCACACCGGCAACCCTGGCCAGAAAACCTGGCCCGGCACGGGGGTCCAGAGTGTTCCGGGACCCCGAGCGGCCGGTCGGGTGTGCATGCCTGGGCTTGGGGTTGGGGTGAGGGGCGCGGAGGTCTCGTCGCCCTCCCGGCCTGGGCCTCTCCAGGCCCGCCCCCTGTCGGCGCCCCCCCTGCCCACTCCCGTTCATGGCTCAGGGACACGTGGCCCCGGAGGTGTCTGATTCGGGCCCGCCGCGGACCGCGACCCTCGGTCCTCTGATCCTCCCGCGGGCATAGGCGGAGTGCAGCCGGGGCCCTGAGGGCCTATCCTGCCTGGCACCTGCGCGGGGCCCAGACCCACCGGGAGCCACCAGCGAGGTCCACCCGAGCGCCTTCAGCCCCGCCCCTTCGCCCGAACGCGGCCCCCCTCCTCGCCAAGCCGCCCGACAAGCACAGGACCTTCCTGACGTCCTTAAAACTCTTCCTTCAAGAGTTCTAAGTACACTTCAGACAGCATCGACTGGATTTTCACCAACTGCAAAACAAACAAACAAACAAAAAACAGTTACTTTGTTCCTTCTTGCCTTACTGTGAGCTGTAACAGTAACCTCATAGCTGCTGCACTCAACGATTTGATGCATTCTGTTGTTTAACAACAGGGATTCTCAAAATTGTCAAAATGGCTATACTACCCAAAGCAATCTATAGATTCAATGCAATCCCTATCAAGCTACCAACGGTAGTTTTCACAGAACTAGAACAAATAAGTCCACAATTTGTATGGAAATACAAAAACCTCCAATAGCCAAAGTAATCTTCAGAAAGAAGAATGGAACTGCAGGAATCAACCTGCCTGACTTCAGACTATACCACAAAGCCACAGTCATCAAGACGGTATGGTACTGGCACAAAGGCAGAAACATAGATCAATGCAACAGAATAGAAAGCCCAGAGATAAATCCACGAACCTATGGTCACCTTATCTTCGACAAAGGAGGCAAGGATATACAATGGAAAACAGACAACCTCTTTAACAAGCGGTGCTGGGAAAACTGGTCAACCACCAGTAAAAGAATCAAACTACAACACTTTCTAACACCATACACAGAAAGAAACTCAAAACGAATTAAAGATCTAAACATAAGCCCAGAAACTATAAAACCCCTAGAGGAGAACATAGGCAAAACACTCCCTGACATAAATCACAGCAGGATCCTCTATGACCCACATCCCAGAATATGAGAAACAATAGCGAAAGTATACAAATGGGACCTAATGAAACTGAAAAGCTTTTGCACAACAAAGGAAACTAAAAGCAAGGTGAAAAGACAGCCCTCAGATTGGGAGAAAATAACAGCAAATGAAGCAACACACAAAGGATTAAACTCAAAAATATACAAGCAACCCCTCCAGCTCTACTCCAGAAAAATAAATGACCCAATCCAAAAATGGGCCAAAGAACTAAACAGACATTTCTCCAAGGAAGACATACAGATGGCTAAAAGACACATGAAAAGATGCTCAGCATCACTCAGTATCAGAGAAGTGCAAATCAAAGCCACAATGCGGTACCATTACACGCCAGTCACGATGGCAGCTATCCAAAAAGTCTACAAGCAATAAATGCTGGAGAGGGTGTGGAGAAAAGGGAACCCTCTTACACTGTTGGTGGGAATGCAAACTAGTTCAGCCGCTATGGAAAACAGTGTGGAGATTTCTTAGAAAAAAACTGGAAATAGAACTGCCATATGACCCAGCAATCCCACTTCTGGGCATACACGCCGAGGAAACCAGATCTGAAAGAGACACCTGCACCCCAAGGTTCATCACACCACCATTTATAACAGTCAGGGCATGGAAGCAACCTAGATGCCCATCAGCAGACGAATGGATAAGGAAGCTGTGGTACATATACACCATGGAATCTTACTCAGTCATTGCAAAGAATTCATTTGAATCAGTTCTAATGAGATGGATGAAAGTGGAGCCTGTTATACAGACTGAAGTAAGCCAGAAAGTTAAAGACCATTACAGTATACTAACACATATATATGGAATTTAGAAAGATGGTAACGATAACCCTATGTGCAAAACAGAAAAAGACACACAGATGTATAGAACAGACTTTTGGACTCTGTGGGAGAAGGCGAGGGTGGGATGGTTCAAGAGAACAGCATCGAAACATGTATATTATCTAGGGTGAATCAGATCACCAGCCCAGGTTGGAGGCATGAGACAAGTGCTCGGACCTGGTGCACTGGGATGAGCCAAAGGGATCGGGTCGAGACGGAGGTGGGAGGGGGGATCGGGATGGGGAATACATGTAAATCCATGGCTAATTCGTGACAAAAAAAACTGTAAATTAATTAGCCTCCAACTAATAAAAATAAATGAAAAAAAAAATAAAAACAGGGATTCATTGAGCTGCATGGGAGATGAATTCTGTCATTAGAACCTTTGCCATCAGGCTTAAGAAATATATTTAGAACTCATTTCTTTCAGGAAACAGGTTTCAAGATCTCCATAAGAAGTCTTTTATTAAGATAAATCACAGCTTTGTCAGTTTCTCCAGAAGTACCCCATTTTTGATTCCCAAGGAGAATCGCAATAATAAAACTAAATTAATCTAGTAGGTTATTTTCTCTCTAATGGCACCTGTCTTGATTAATAGGATTCCGGTCTTTGTATTTCCTGGGCTTCCCTGGTGGCTCAGGTGGTCAAGAATCTGTCTGCAATGCAGGAGACCTGGGTTCCATGCCTGGGTTGAGAAGATCGCCTGGAGAAGGGAATGGCAACCTCTTCCACTGTTCTTGCCTAGAGAATTCCACGGACAGAGGAACTTGGGAGGCCACAGTCCATGGAGTCACAAAGAGTCGGACACAGCTGAGCAGCTATTACACATATTTTCTTAAAATTTGCTGAGTAGAAGCAATCATTCATAGCATTGTATAGCACTTTCTAAAGAACGTTTAGTGCCTTTTTTCTTTTCTGTAAGCTGCACTAGGTCTTGGTTGCCACACATGGGATCTTTCATTGTGGCGTGCAAACTCTTCCTTGCAGGGGATGGGATCTAGTTCACTGACCAGAGATTGAACCCAGGCCCCTGCATTGGGAGCAGCCACTGGATCGCCAGGGAAGCCCTCTAAACAACTCTTCAAGTGAAACGTTTCGGATGTTCGCAGCAGCTCTGGGCAGTCCTAGTGATGATACTCGTTCTGCACTCTTCAGCCCGTGACCTCCCTGAGGGACACAGGGGCCAAGCGAGCAGATGCTACCCCAGCGTCAGACCGCAGGGCCAGACTGGCTGTGCAAACTCCCTTCCAGTGATGTCCTCTTTTTACTGTTCTTCTGGTAAATTCAGTACTGCTTTCCTTGGAGCATGTGTTTAAAAGGAAATCCTAGATGTGTTCAAACATTACTGCCCACTTTTAGATGGATTGATATCTACCTAGGACTTGTTTATTAAACCCACCTGCCTGAGTACTGTGACTTGATTGGAGTTTTCTTGAAGTCACTCCTGAAGCATTGTGATGGCTTTGTCTAACATTAATAGATTTTCAAAAATGATATGTGTTGCGGTATGGCCATGAAAAGAGGGGAGAATCTGTTGCGACTGCAAACCAATGATGGAGGCAACTTCAAAAGGAAATCTGAATTGTAACGATGTTTCTATTTATGTAAAATACTGCCCTTACCTTGCAGTCTGTAGTTGATGTTCACAGACAGAGCAGTGGCTCTCGGGTTGCTCTTCTGCCAGCTTCCTGTCTCCTTCAGTCCTTGCATGTGTATAGGAACTTCAGTGCGATAATGGGGCATTTAACAGAGATTGCTCTGTGCAACACTGTATTTAGTGTTTCTATTTTAAAGTTTCTAGGATGTTAATTTATATGCAAATAAAATACATAAGAAGAGAGTTCTGTGCCTATTGTGTATATATGTCCTAAACGAAAATGCAAAATATTTATCCCAGAGGGAAAATAAGTTAGAGTGTCTGTGTTCAAAGACTTTTGAAAGTTCTTATTTCAGGCCGAACCGTTGCTGGTTAAGAGTGAAAGTCGCTCAGTCATGTCTGACTCTGCGAACGCATGGACTATACAGTCCATGGAACTCTCCAGGCCAGAATACTAGAGTGGGTAGCCGTTTCCCTTCTACAGGGGGTCTTTGCAACCCAGGGATCGAACCCAGGTCTCCTGCATTGCAGGTGGATTCTTCACCAGCTGAGCCACCAGGGAAGCCCCAACAGTTATGAGCAGTTAAGGATTTAACAAATGCTAGATTCTAAAGATAAAATAATAATTCTGCTACATTAAAACACATTTTCTTAAGATCAAATGTTCTCAACGCAGTTTCAGGGAAGAAGTATTTCCCCCTTATGGAAATATCAGTATGTTAATCCCTAAGAAGTCCTTTTCCGAAAAGTTACAAAATAGTTGCGACAATGTAGATGATGTAGATCAAATGGTGATAAACATTGAGTTGATCTCAGTGAGGCAGCAGTGAGTGGTGGCCTGAAGTGAGATCTACTTCGCTGCCCAGGAACTGACCCTGGGTAGCCTGAACCAAAACCAGGAATCCTAGCCGCCAGACCAGCAAGGGCTAGAGGCTAGAAGCCAAGTTTCCCTGGATCTTTGACCAGTGAAAAATGCATTTATCATGGAGGCAGAATCGGTAAATGCAGGTACAACGTTTATTATTAGTGACACAGCACAGCAACATGTGGGAAAGCACATGGAGAAACAGCTGGTCTCGTTAAGACAGAAGCAAAGCAGAGAGACACACCTGGAGAGAAAGGTTATGGGCGCCCCCTAGTGAGAAGGAGCACAATAACCACAAGGCAGTTAAGTCATTTAGACAGGCCAGTTCTTCTGGGTCTTTGTCTTCCTTCCTGCCAAGTTTCTGGTTTCTCTCTTCCCATCTGACCTATCCTGGGACTCTCCCCTGGTGTGCACATACCCCTCAGCCAAGATGGATCTCCAAGTGGAGGCTTCTGGGAGAAGCAAGGCTCATTATGGTCTGGCATTTTCACGGGACTTTTCACCCACAAGGAGCCTCTCTGCGCATGTGTAGTGTTTCCCTTGAACCAAAAGGCGGGTGGGGGGAGGGGAGATCTCTTCATCCTTGACTCAAGCAGGAGTTTGTCCCTCTTTGCCCTTCCCATGGCTATGAAAGTGTTCATAAGAGACAGACACTGGCTATTTACCCTCTTTCT